TTTGAGCGTTTATTATTATCTGAAGCAACAATAAATTTCATGTGTGCTTGTAACACTAGCCACCTAAATAAGGACAATAAAACATTGACTTGAACGATCTAATTTGCTATTGTTAATTAATGGTTAGCTACTCAAACAGGTAAGTCTATTTTGGATAGATAAATGTCGGCTTGACGTAATTTATTTTATCACATATGACAATGTAAATAAATTTGTGTTATTAAAGTAAATCATATTTAAGATCCGATAAAAAAGAATCTGAGACGATAAGTCGGTCTATTTTTTTTTATTACGATTATATAATAAATAAATAACGATAAAGAAAGTTGGTAGTTTCCGTGCATATTAAATTGTGTGCCGTGCTGTGTGTGCTGTTATTCGAATGTAGGTCATTTCCGACGTCTATAAGAAAATCACCCTTTACCAAAATGATTAAGAGTATTTTTTGCAGAAGAAAAAATAGCAAATATAACTGTTGAAGTTATGGAAGAATCAATCAGTGAAATATTGACAAAGTGAAAACACAAATAAACAGTAATCGGTCGGCGTGTGATGAAGTCCGTTCGTTAAATGTTGACCAGTCGACGGATTCCTTTAATATTATGAATCGTTAGTATAATTGCAATAAAAAGCATAACTAACAAATAGACGCAATCCACTAGATAGTAAGGGTGCAAAAAATCTCAATTCGAAGGAAGGGGTATAACTCCGATGATATCGAATATCTAATGACATAAAAAAAATGAAATCCACGATAATTAATAGCTACTTTCTAAAGAGAACGTGCTGTGATTGACCTAAGTGGGCAATGGTTTGTAATAATGTTGAGGTTTAGTTTTTGCCTTATGGTAGATAAGATCCGTTCGATAAGATGGGGATTATCATCGTTTATTTAACCTTGCGATGATTTTCTTGAAATTATAAAAATAGGTTAATAATTGCAATATGGAGAAAAATAAATTATTAGTTCAGCATTCACATAATGAACACAATCCACTAGACACACAGTGACAGTAACTGTAAGAATACAGTGAATATTTGACATCTGTGGGTTGACACTGTGCATCATTACTGCAATTAACGAACGAATTTTGATACGAATAATGCGACTTACCTTACAAATATCAGTTTGCAATTTTTGTAGTCGCTATGGAATCTGTCTTGTCTATGTTCGTGCGGTGTTAAAAAGAAAGAAATAGTAGTTAATTAGTATTTACATGTATACAAACATTGGACAATAAGATCTTCGTGTGTTGCCAACCGGGTTTGATGAGAGGCTGTCACTGTTCGGTGGAAAGATGTCAGTTAGTTGAGATCGTGATATATGTAGAAGTGGGAAGTCGTGAATCGGTTCAGCGTGCGAAAAAGGACGTACAAATGGTGGGGTAATGTGTGAAATATATACCTCTCTCGAAACACATGCTATTGGTAATCGCTGTCGCTATTATAGCAATATAGTCTACTAAAACAGGTAAGTATATATATATTTGCAGGATAGATATCAACTATGCAATGTTGTATATTTATACTAAGATACAGTAGTTGACTAAGCAAATACGACGCTATTTACTATTTATGTGGGTTAGTGTGCGATCTAACGGTTTTATACACAAATTGTGTCACCAATTAATAGACACTCGTTAGCATACGAAATCTAGACTGCTATATGCCTTCGTGCGATCTAACGGTTTTTATACAGACTGTGTGACACCAATTTAATAGACAGTCGTTAGCATGCGAAATCTAGATTACATAATCACATTACATTTTATAGTTATATGTAAAAAAAATCAAAATATCGTCATACGTTGAAAAAGTATGATATACAGGGGACAATCATTTCATCGATCACCACATCAATCCTTTTTTTGGCAGTGAAGTGTACTGTCAATGGAATGATACAGACCGTAATATATACTATGTTAATGTAAAGTAATTATTTTTATTAGCTATTGGAAAGCTAGCCGACAATATACACGCTGATAAGTACAATAAATATAATTAAAAATTTTTAGCCTCCTGTCATTTATCAATCTATACAGTAATAAATTTTTGGATAATAAGAAAAAAAGCATACATATGAATCAATCGAATTGTATATTTAACTAATTAGGGTAACAGGGAATATATTAACTAATTAGGGTAACAAGGAAAGAAAACGATTTCACAGCAATGGTGGGGGAGGCTTTTTTTTTTTTTTTGCCACAAGCCAAAGAGTATAGCTTTTTATTCATTTATTTATTTTTATTTTTTTAAATGAATGGAAATGGCAGATAAAGTAAAGAAAATAGTGAAATGTAGCGATATGATAGTTAGCTACTATACTTAAACGTAAACTTTTGAGAGAAATGAATATTCTCTCCAAGTGGCAATCGTAACATATAATTTTACTGGGGAAAAAATGTCTATTACTTACTATGTAGCAAATACCAAATTTTCCCCAAAAATATAAATAAACAACGACTTTGGAGGAGAACAACGTTTGACGGCTAACGTGAATAGCGAATAGCGATATAGTGATATAAAACTGGCACCGAAAAAGCGTCGTACATATTTCCTAAATTGCATATTAAGTGGTTATAGTTAGCGCGTATCAATAAATGTATAAGATGTACAAAAAAAGTAACCTGAATTAGTAAGGATAAGCAGCACATACTCGATATGGACAATCACATGTTATGACCAAAATGATTATAGCGATTAATTAAATGATTCTATAGATCAATATCGGCCATAACTAACAATTGTTGGGCGTTCATCTTTCAACATATTCTAGTGACTCTTACTATACGAGTAGGGAAAGAATCAGATAATTCCGTTATTACAGCATTATAAAGTTCCTCGCGATAGTTATTACAGTATTATAGTAGTAGTAGAAATAATTGTAATGTTATTAATAGCAATGATAAATCTCAAAAATAATTAACGAAAAATATGCCCATGACACTTTATTTTTAAGTCACAATGGTTGTACAATCTTTTTTTTTCTCCATAACTCAGCCAATAGGCAAGACTCTAACGCCTTGACAATTCTTTTATTTTAGTGCAGACGCGATGGACAACGACAATGCTATTAAACTATCTTGTAAAGTTCACGGTGAACCCGATGCAAAGGTTTTCCCAGTGAAGATCGACAAAAATGAAACCATTGGAACTCTCAAGATGGAGATTTGGAAAGCGAACCGGGGTGCTTTCCATGGCTATGATGCGACCCAACTTGATATCTGGCGAGTGGATATTGACTATACATCGCAAAATTCAAAGCGAACCACCTTCCAAAATGATAGTAATGCCGATATTCAGAGCGCACTAGAAGGTGTCCGAGCTGACGAAATGGATGATGTGGCCGATGTCTTCGGCGATGGTCCCCTTCCCAAGAAGCATATCCACGTCATTGTGGTGCGGCCACCTGGTAAATAATAGATTCACAAAACCCTATTCAACGTCGTTTTTTATCACTACTCACGTCTTGTTCTGATTTATGCCTCAAGTGAACCAGCCGTCACTTATTTCTGATCTGGTGCCTTTACAAAGTAAGAATTTCATTTTACAGCACAAACTCTTATGCTCTCATCGCTGTGCTCACTCACCAATTTCTTTATGACATAATGTTTTTGTATCCCGTTTCTTTTCTCTTTTTAAAAAAGGTTTTAATGTCATTGTGAATCCAAAAAGGATAGCATTTAAATGGCCAGTGGATATCACTACAGTCACTCTTCAAGATCTCAGAGACAGTATTGCTGTGATTTATCCTGAAATTGAAGATATTGCAGTGGCTATGCCTGTAATTACTGTAGCTGGAAAACCTGAAAAAGCCAACATTAAAAATGATTCAGATCTTCAAGTAAATTTGAAAATCATGGCAGTGGCAGGGACTTGCACATTTACTGTCACTCTGGAGACTTGTATGTATGCTCAATCAACTATTTTTTTAGTAGTTCTTATAAAGAGTATTAGTAAATTTTTTGTATTACCCACTTAACAGTGGCAAAGGCATATGGGAAGTGGACAGCTGTTGAAGTTTTACGCAATCTCTTACATTTGGATTTTGATACTCTCGACAACCTAGACAAACTAGACATAGGTAACATCCCTTATGAATCAAGTTTTGATATTGTAGCTTATAAATTGGCTCTAATGAATTCATGCTCTGTGTTACAATAGAAAACCTTTCATCTAGCCTTTCTAGTGAGGCAAGGACATTTTTGCTCAATGAAGATGAAACTGCAAAAAAAGCCTTTATTGAAAACCTTAAAGATATTAGAGATGTTTTTAATGGCAATGTCACCATAAATGAAGCTACATCAAGAAATTTTATCAATCCCTTCATCATCAAAGCAGTTACCAGACTTCAACCCACTTATCCAAATATGTTTCTGGCAGTTGAGCGAGCCTTTAGTGGAAGTCGTGGATTTGGAAATTTGGATTATGCTGTTTTTTTTTCAACTTTTGCTATCCTAGTTACAGAGGCTAAACAGTATGCAATTATGGCAGGGTTAACACAGAATCTTGTTCAATTACATACTGCTTCAGAGGTATCAAAATTTGCTGCCTTATCCTTGAGTTTGTTTATTCTGTCTAGTTGTGTTTTTCTAACTTAATTCTGTCACTCCTCAGAAACTTAAGCATAAGCATGATGACAGTCCTGTCCTGTCTGCAGTTTATGGAATTGTGGCAACTGGAATGACATGGCTATTTGTTCGTTGGGAAGGCTCACCAGAAAATCCCTCTGTGAAACTTTCAAAGCCATTGTTGAGCCAATACTCGGGGGAGAGCGGAACGAATATTGACCTTGGGATTTAGTCTTTTTCCAACGAGGTCCTTGATTACC